TCTCACCACTCCAGACCGATTGGCACTGGAAGGCAGGTCAGCGGGGGGCATACCTGTGGGGGCAGCAGTGAACGAACGACCGGACCTGTTCCGATCGGCTGTGGCTGGCGTGCCGTTCGTTGATGTGCTCTCCACCATGCTGGACGCCTCCCTGCACCTCACCATCACAGAGTGGGAGGTGGGTGGGTGGGTGGGTGGGCTTGAGGGTGAGTGGGAGGTGGGTGGTACGCTGTCTTGCTGCATAAGCACCTTCTTGCCCCATAATCTGGCTGGCTGGCCGGCTGGCTGGCTGGCCGGCTGGCTGGCTGGCTGGCTGGGTGGGTGGCTGGTGTGCCGTTCGTTGATGTGCTCTCCACCATGCTGGAAGCTTCTTTGCATCTTACTATCACTGAGTGGGAGGTGGGTTCACTCACCCTCATTAAGGAGGAGGTGGGTGGGTGGGTGCATGGTGGCTGGCTGGGTGGCTGGCGTGTCGTTCGTTGATGTGCTCTCCACCATGCTGGAAGCTTCTTTGCATCTTACTATCACTGAATGGGAGGTGGGTGGGTGAGTGGGTGGTTGGGCAGTGGGAGGTGGGTAGGTTTGTGAATTGACCCAAGGGTGTGCCATTCAATGCTGCCCTCTCCTGACATCTGCTCGATGCAAGCAACTTGTGTGCATGTGTTGTGTGCGTCTACTGTGGTTGTGTGTGGTCATGTGCGGCTGTGTGTGGTCATGTGTGGTTGTGCGTGGTTGTGTGTGGCGTGCAGGAGTGGGGCAACCCACAGGAGGAGCAGTACTATCACTACATCAAATCCTACTCTCCCGTAGACAATGTAAGCCGCTCTTTGCATCTCTCCCATGCTTATAAGGGGTACACGTAAACCAACCAATCAATAATGCGCATACCCCTGATACTTTTGCTGTTGGCGTGCATGCACGAACACGTTTCAGCCAAATGGCCTGAGAGCGCTGATGAAATGAAGGCCATCGAGACTTTTGAGTCGACTCAAAAGCCAAATGGCCTGAGAGCGCTGATGAAGGCCATCGTGCCGAAACGCGTACGCTCAGTTTGGAATGATATTTCCTTGTCTACCTGATCCCTACCTAGCCTAAGCACCTACCATACGAACTAGCGAATAGTTGATACTAGAACATGTTTAGTCTGCTGGATCGGGGTCGGATCTCATTTCTTTCGTGCGAGAACACGTTTCAGCCAAGTGGCCTTCATGAGAACATCAGTCGGTTTTGAGGCGCTTCAAGTATAAAAGGCCTTCCTTTGTCAACGCAGTAGGCAGCTTCTTACTTTCTTTTATCTTAAAGTTAGTTACAAATTCCATAGGTTTCCATTCTTTCCTGGCTGACGGCACTCATTCCTGTGCATTTCCTCTGGTCTTCTGACATAATTCTCAGCGAGCTGTGAATCATGTCAGAAGACCATTCTTTCCTGGCTGACGGCACTCATTCCTGTGCATTTCCTCTGGTCTTCTGACATAATTCTCAGCGAGCTGTGAATCATGTCAGAAGACCATTCTTTCCTGGCTGACGGCACTCATTCCTGTGCATTTCCTCTGGTCTTCTGACATAATTCTCAGCGAGCTGTGAATCATGTCAGAAGACCATTCTTTCCTGGCTGACGGCACTCATTCCTGTGCATTTCCTCTGGTCTTCTGACATAATTCTCAGCGAGCTGTGAATCATGTCAGAAGACCATTCTTTCCTGGCTGACGGCACTCATTCCTGTGCATTTCCTCTGGTCTTCTGACATAATTCTCAGCGAGCTGTGAATCATGTCAGAAGACCATTCTTTCCTGGCTGACGGCACTCATTCCTGTGCATTTCCTCTGGTCTTCTGACATAATTCTCAGCGAGCTGTGAATCATGTCAGAAGACCATTCTTTCCTGGCTGACGGCACTCATTCCTGTGCATTTCCTCTGGTCTTCTGACATAATTCTCAGCGAGCTGTGAATCATGTCAGAAGACCATTCTTTCCTGGCTGACGGCACTCATTCCTGTGCATTTCCTCTGGTCTTCTGACATAATTCTCAGCGAGCTGTGAATCATGTCAGAAGACCATTCTTTCCTGGCTGACGGCACTCATTCCTGTGCATTTCCTCTGGTCTTCTGACATAATTCTCAGCGAGCTGTGAATCATGTCAGAAGACCATTCTTTCCTGGCTGACGGCACTCATTCCTGTGCATTTCCTCTGGTCTTCTGACATAATTCTCAGCGAGCTGTGAATCATGTCAGAAGACCATTCTTTCCTGGCTGACGGCACTCATTCCTGTGCATTTCCTCTGGTCTTCTGACATAATTCTCAGCGAGCTGTGAATCATGTCAGAAGACCATTCTTTCCTGGCTGACGGCACTCATTCCTGTGCATTTCCTCTGGTCTTCTGACATAATTCTCAGCGAGCTGTGAATCATGTCAGAAGACCATTCTTTCCTGGCTGACGGCACTCATTCCTGTGCATTTCCTCTGGTCTTCTGACATAATTCTCAGCGAGCTGTGAATCATGTCAGAAGACCATTCTTTCCTGGCTGACGGCACTCATTCCTGTGCATTTCCTCTGGTCTTCTGACATAATTCTCAGCGAGCTGTGAATCATGTCAGAAGACCATTCTTTCCTGGCTGACGGCACTCATTCCTGTGCATTTCCTCTGGTCTTCTGACATAATTCTCAGCGAGCTGTGAATCATGTCAGAAGACCATTCTTTCCTGGCTGACGGCACTCATTCCTGTGCATTTCCTCTGGTCTTCTGACATAATTCTCAGCGAGCTGTGAATCATGTCAGAAGACCATTCTTTCCTGGCTGACGGCACTCATTCCTGTGCATTTCCTCTGGTCTTCTGACATAATTCTCAGCGAGCTGTGAATCATGTCAGAAGACCATTCTTTCCTGGCTGACGGCACTCATTCCTGTGCATTTCCTCTGGTCTTCTGACATAATTCTCAGCGAGCTGTGAATCATGTCAGAAGACCATTCTTTCCTGGCTGACGGCACTCATTCCTGTGCATTTCCTCTGGTCTTCTGACATAATTCTCAGCGAGCTGTGAATCATGTCAGAAGACCATTCTTTCCTGGCTGACGGCACTCATTCCTGTGCATTTCCTCTATACCCGATCCTTTCCCTCTCGTCTGTTCGTCTGCTGCTCCTCTTTGCAGGTGAAGCCCCAGGCTTACCCCAACATTCTTACCACTGCTTCGCTACATGGTAAGCTAATGTTTCATGATAGTAATAAAAAGAACTAGGAAGAAGCATGTTGAAATCTCAACATTTTTCCTTCTTTTTTTTTGCCTTTCTCATTTCCTTCCTCCCTCCCTCTCTTCTACCAATCACAGACCAGAGAGTGAATTCTTGGGAGCCAGCGAAGTGGGTGGCACGATTAAGAGATGCCAACACCAGCTGTGATTCGGTGGTGCTGACTTCTCACGTGCTGTCTCTTGCTCTCCCCCTCCCTCTCGTTTACCCATCGCAGACCAAAGAGTGAACTACTGGGAGCCGGCCAAGTGGGTGGCGAGGCTGAGACACGCCAACAGCAGCGTGGGGCAATAGCGAGCCTCATTCTTTTCCTGCTGCCCTCTCTACTCTCCCTCGCCCTTTCGCCATCCCAAACCCCTCGCTCTTCACCCCCATGGCAGACCAGAGAGTGAACTACTGGGAGCCGACCAAGTGGGTGGCGAGGCTGAGAGACGCCAACACAAGCAGTGACGCGGTAGTCCTGCTGCGCTGTGAAATGGACGCTGGGCACTTTAGCAAGACAGGGAGGTGAGTGAGTGAGTGAGTGGAGGGACTGAGTAAAGGGGGGCGTGGATGAGAGACGCCAATTGCCGCAGTGACTCAGTGGTGCTGCGGCGGTGTGAGATGGACGTTGGGCATTTCAGCAAGACAGGGAGGTGAGTGAGTGAGTGAGTGAGTGAGTGAGTGAGTGAGTGAGTGAGTGAGTGAGTGAGTGAGTGCGTGAGTGAGTGAGTGAGGGTGTGAGTAGAGTGAGGGACCTCCACGTTAAATGAGACAACCTTTAGGTGCCCAAAGAAAAGTTGCCTAAAAGATTACAGCTGATGGCAGCAATGTTGCATGTTCGCTACACATTTGGAAACTAGGACTTGCCCGTCTTTTGTCTTTCCTTGCTGCAGGTTCGATCGCCTTGCTGACGTGGCGCTCCGCTATGCCTTCATTCTCTACACGCTTGGCATGCACTAATCGGCTCCTTTTCCCTTCTTGGGACGTGACATGGAGCTTCATTTTTTTAGGCGCCTCTACAAAACTCTCTTTTGCCTCCTCGGGAGGGAGGTGACATGAAGCTTCAATCTGACGTGGAAGCCACAAAGTGGCTTTAAGTCCACTCAAAAAGTCACCTGTTTGGCTCTCCCTCTTTCACCTTCTCGGGACTTGACATGAAGCTTCATAATGATGTGAAGCCACAAATAAAGGGGGTCTATTCTTCAGGCGCCTAAATAACGCCTACTTTGGGGTATCTAATTTCCTTTGAGCTTTTTTTTTTTTCCTTTTGTTGTGAGGACCCATTATGCAATGTAGTTCTTACTAGCCTCCTGGCATGAATGATTGTGTTGTGACTCCTGAGTTTTTTCAACAGCGACCTTTATCATTAATGAATGTTGAAAAGGTACTAGCGTGTGCGTGCTGCTAACAATATGAATAATCACTTACGCGAATACGAAGTTGGAGTGTTCAATATACGTTATATCTAGGAAGGCAAGGAGAATGCCAAAGAAAACAATGCAAGAGAGCGATGCCACACTGAATGATTTGATTACTTGGCATAATAACAGCAGGACACATGCACCACACTGCACCGCACCGCACCGCACCGCACTGAACACAGAAAGCAGAAACAAGAGTTGGTTGGTAGAAATTAAGCAGGATCGACTCTACAAAGTGCAACTTTTGTAACGCATAGGGTTTAGGGTAACCATCCATGCAGCGCGGAATATTCTCAACATCTCTGTGTACCTGGCAGCTGCGCTGAGGCTCAAACCACCCGAAAGCACCCTTTAATCCTGGCAGGAGAAAGGACGGCAGGGAGCAGGGAAGGGGGTTGAGCTAAGGGAGTCTAGGAGCGAAAGGCGTAACAGGAGTAAAAGAGAGTGAAAGAGTAAACAAGGGTCGAATGCACCAGCAGGGAAGGGGAAGCTTGTGTACTTTTAACGGATATGTTGCAAGAAAGTCAATCATGGTCTTCAACACAAGCAAGGGCTTAGTAGGAGGTCAAGAAAGTCAACATGAGTTGCAGAGTCAAGGAGGGTGCGAACTGCACCAGCAGGGGAGGGGAAGCTTGCGCACTTCAGAGGATATTTTGTTAAAGTGCTTTATGAGAGATGCCAGTCCATGCCTTATGTCATAGGAGGTGAAGAATATTCAAAGGCAGTCTAGGCGTACAAGGGAGTGAAGGAGTAAAAGAGGTTCGGAGACTCAAGGAGGGTGCGAACTGCACCAGAAGGGGAGGGGAAGCTTGCAAACTTCAGCAGATATGTTGCTAGAGAGCCAGTCACGGTGTTAACACTAGCAAGGCATCAATAGAAGGTCAAGGAAATCAACAAAAGTCAACAAGCGTTACAGAGTGAAAGAGGGTGGGAATGCACCAGCAGGGGAGGGAGAGAACTGCACCAGCAGGGGAGGGGAAGCTTGCGCACTTTAGCGGATATGTTGTTAGAGAGCCAGTCACAGTATTAACACCAACAAGGCATCAATAGAAGGTCAAGAAAGTCAACAAGAGTCAACAAGAGCGCAGGAGTGAAAAGGAAGGTGAGAACTGCACCAGCAGGTGAGGGGAAGCTTGCGCACTTGAGCGGATATGTTGTTAGAGAGCCAGTCAAGGTCAACACGAGTCAATGAGAGTCAAAAAACAGAAGGGTGAGAACTGCACCAGAAGGGGAGGGGAAGCTTGCGCACTTGAGCGGATATGTTGTTAGAGAGCCAGTCACGGTCAACACGAGTCAATGAGAGTCAAAAAACAGAAGGGTGAGAACTGCACCAGAAGGGGAGGGGAAGCTTGCGCACTTGAGCGGATATGTTGTTAGAGAGCCAGTCAAGGTCAACACGAGTCAATGAGAGTCAAAAAACAGAAGGGTGAGAACTGCACCAGAAGGGGAGGGGAAGCTTGCGCACTTGAGCGGATATGTTGTTAGAGAGCCAGTCACGGTCAACACGAGTCAATGAGAGTCAAAAAACAGAAGGGTGAGAACTGCACCAGCAGGGGAGGGAGAGCTTGCGCACTTTAGCGGATATGTTGTTAGAGAGCCAGTCAAGTCCTTCGTACAGCCCTTCCCCTGACGTGGCACAAGTGCTCTGAATGTACCTGGTGGGGGGGGGAGGGGGGAGGGGAAGGAGGAGGAAAAAGGGACAGCGAAGGGAGGTGGATATGTTGTTCGAGAGCCAGTCAAGGCCCTCGTAGAGGCCTTCACCTGACGTGGCACAGGTGCTCTGAATGTACCTGGTGGGGTGAGGGAAGGAGGAGGACAGGGGTGAGGAGCAAGGGGGGAAAAGGGGAGTATGGATGGGGAGTGAGTGACAAAAAGGGAGCCAGTCAAGCCCCTCGTAGAGACCTTCCCCTGATGTGGCACAGGTGCTCTGAATGTACCTGGTGGGGGGGGTGGGGTGTTGAGGGAAGAAAAGGTGGAGGCAGACGAGGAGAGAAGGGGAAAAGGTGTGTAGTAAGGCAGTGATAGAGGCGAGAGAAAGAGCCTACACACACGCGCTCGCGCACGCACATGCACAAATAGAAGCACAAGGCGCGCCGCGCACACGCGCGCGCGCGCACACACACACACACACACACACATGGACATGCACACACACACACACACATGGACATGCACACACACACACACACACACACACATGTGCACATGCACACACACACACACACACACGCACATGCACACACGCACACGCACGCACGCACACACACACACAAACACACACACATCAGCAGCGGTGGCGCAGCGAGTGTAGTCCGAGCTTGTCGGTGATCTCAGAAATGCAGCAAGGGAGTGCGTAAAAACGAGGGAATTGGGATAAAGAGGGAGGGGAAAGGCCACACACACACATACACACATACCAGGTGCGGTGGCGCCGCGAGTGCAGGAGGGAAGGTTGGGGCATAATAGGAGGGCAAGATCTGAAAGACCAGAGGCACACACATACCAGGTGCGGTGGCACAGCGAGTGCAGGCGAGGTTGTCAGTGGTCTCCGCAACACAAGCAGGGAGGGCTGGAAGGTTGGGGCATAATAGGAGGGCAAGATCTGAAAGACCAGAGGCACACGCATACCAGGTGCGGTGAAGCAGCGAGTGAAGCCGAGCTTGTTGGTGATCTCAGCAGCATTCATCGCGTTGGGAAGGCCGGTTGGCGCATACACGGGACGGAAAGAGGCAAACACACACACACATACAAGCGTACCAGATGCGGTGGCGCAGCGAGTGCAGGCCGAGCTTGTCGGTGATCTCAGCAGCATTCATCGCGTTGGGAAGGTCCTGCTTGTTGGCAAAGACCAGGAGAGAGGCGTCACGCAGCTCGTCCTGTACATGGGAGGGGATGAAAGAGAAGAGTACACGGGAAGGGTTCATCGCGTTGGGAAGGTCCTGCTTGTTGGCAAACACGAGGAGGGTAGCATCACGTAGCTCGTCCTGTAGAGCAATGAGAGGAGGGGCAGGGAGAGGTCATGAAGGAGGCATAGGAGAGAAGAGAGCTACTTTGCTCTGGGCAGGTCCTGCATGTTGGCAAACACGAGGAGGGTAGCATCACGAGGAGGGTGCGGGATTATACAGGAGTGCAGGCCCAGCTTGTCGGTGATCCTAGCAGCGTTCATCGTGTTGGGCAGGTCCTGCTTGTTGGCAAACACCAGGAGAGAAGCGTCACGCAGCTCGTCCTGCAGATGGGGAGGGGATGAAAGAGAAGAGAACACGGAAAGAGGGGAGTTATCGCGTTGGGAAGGTCCCGCTCGTTGACCAGCATCGACCAGCGTTGACCAGCGTTGACCATCACTGCTCTCACCTCATTGAGCATGCGGTGCAGCTCGTCTCTCGCCTCCATCACTCTCTCCCTGTCGTTGCTGTCCACCACGTATATGATTCCCTGCGTGCCTTGAAAGTAGTGCCGCCAGAGATACCGGATCTGAAAAGAAGAGGGAAGGGGAGGACCAGCGTTGACCAGCGTTGACTCACCTCATTCAGCATGCGGTGCAGCTCATCTCTCGCCTCCATCACTCTCTCCCTGTTGTTGCTGTCCACCACGTATATGAGCCCCCGGATGAAGTGGTAGAAGTGCCGCCACAGAACCTGAGAAGTGGGAAGGGTTGAAGGACCGGCGTTGACCGGCATTGACTGGCGTTGACCAGCGTTGACTCACCTCATTCAGCATGCGGTGCAGCTCATCTCTCGCCTCCATTACTCTCTCCCTGTTGTTGCTGTCCACCACGTATATGAGCCCCCGGATGAAGTGGTAGAAGTGCCGCCACAGAACCTGGGAAGTGGGAAGGGTTGAAGGACCGGCGTTGACCGGCATTGACTGGCGTTGACCAGCGTTAACTCACCTCATTGAGCATACGGTGCAGCTCGTCTCTCGCCTCCATCACTCTCTCCCTGTCATTGCTGTCCACCACGTATATGAGCCCTTGAGTGTTGTTGAAATAATGCCTCCAGAGAGGGCGAATCTGGGGGAAAAGAAGGAAGATAGAATAGGAAACAGAAGGGGGAAACTGTGAATCTGATGCTTTTATACATCTGCTGTATCCACGTTCAAGTCAACGAATTCAACGTCAGAAACGCGGAGTCAAGTCAACACAAGTCAGCACGCAATCAAGTCAACACAAGTCAACGCAAGTAATAAAAAAATTCAGCGGAATTAAATTCAACACAATCCAACAAGGAATCGAGTCAACACAAGTCAACACGGAATCGAGCCCAAGTCAACGGAGCCAAGTCAACACAAGTCAACAGAGCACCAACAAAAGCCAACAGAGTCAAGCCAATGTGGTTGGTTACCTTATCCTGGCCCCCCACGTCCCACACAGTGAAGCTGATGTTCTTATGCTCCACTGTCTCCAGCATTCGTTCAGGTCAACACACGTCAAGAAATTCAACCACAAGTCGATGGATTCAAGCCAATGTGATAAGTTAGTTACCTTATCCTGACCCCCCACGTCCCACACGGTGAAGCTGATGTTCTTATACTCCACTGTCTCCAGCCTTCGCTCGGGTCAACACAAGTCAATGAAGTCAAGTCAACAAAGGTCAGCCTGGTTACCTTATCCTGGCCCCCCACGTCCCAGACAGTGAAGCTGATGTTCTTATACTCCACTGTCTCCACGTTGAAGCCTGCGATACAGTCACAACAGGTGAAAAGAGAGGGAAAAGGGTAATATTTGTCATCAAGTGTACAACGATTGCATTGAAGCCTGCAATACAGTCACAGCTGGCAATCACGAAGAGAGGAGAATCTAGGGATAATCAACTGCATACTAATCCCAACGATAAAGCTAATCAGAACCACACACCTTTGCCAGATGCACTCACCGATAGTGGAGATGGTTGTAACGAGTTCCCCCAGCTTGAGCTTGTAGAGGATGGTGGTCTTGCCCTCCCACTCACCCACACTCTTACCAGACATACTATACTAACCAATAGTGGGGAAGGTTGTCACTAACCGATAGTGGGGATGGTTGTAACGAGCTCCCCCAGCTTGAGCTTGTAGAGAATGGTCGTTTTCCCTGCAGCGTCCAGCCCCACCATGAGAATGCGCATGTCCCTCTTGCCCACCCTCCCTCCCACCCTCCCACCCTCCCACTTACTGCTTGCCCTCCCACCCACTCCTTCCCTCCTTCCCTCCCTCCCTCCCTCCCACCGACTGCTTTCTCTCCCTCCCTCCCACTGCCTCACCAGACACTACTCACCAATAGTGGGGATGGTTGTAACGAGTTCCCCGAGCTTGAGCTTGTAGAGAATGGTGGTCTTGCCCGCCGCGTCCAGCCCCACCATGAGAATGCGCATGTCCCTCTTGCCCACCCACCGCGCAAACAGCTTCGTGAACGTCAACCCCATGATTGTTTGTAGTTAGGCTTTACTTGATTGAGATGCTTATATTGCTAAGAAGGAAAGCTTGTAACGAGTCTTTTACGAGACACGTGCTGCTTTCCTGGAAAGTAGAAGCTGTGATGTAAGCAGCTGTTGCAGAGTTTTGAAACGGCTCAAAAGCTGTGATATAAGCCGCTGTTGCGGAGTAGTTAGAGTAGTAATGGCATTCGTCTGCAGCTGTGTTATAAGCAGTTGCAGGGTAGTAGTTGGAGTGGTAGTGGAAGATCTAAGTGCAGCACTGAGGGTAGTCCGAGGTGACTTTTGAGTCGACTCAAAAGTCACCTGTGTTATAAGCAGTTGCAGGGTAGTAGTTGGAGTGGTAGCGGAAGATCTAGCTGCAGCAGTGAGGGTAGTCCTCCCTCCTGCCATTGGGTTTGGGTTTACACCGCGGAGGCAATCGGCGGAGCTCTGGGCTCCGCCATTAGCGGGAATACCCTGCAATCTACATCCGCGGGGAATGAATGCCTTGCGCGCGGGGGCGAGGAGAACCGCCGCCACGATACCCGCATCAGCGGCCTTGTCCCGCTCGAGCCGGTTTAGAGCGGTAGAGTTGAGGGGGTTGGTGTGGGTGGCGGGGATAAATCGGTGAGAGGGAGGGTGAGGGAAGGTGGGAAGAGGAGGGGAGTTTCGGTAGTGGGTAGGGGGGAACGGAATGCGAACGCGGTGCGAGGCGGAGATGGGCAAGCGCAAGCACCCTTCATTTTCCGCACGTGTCGCGGAACGGGCTTCCCGGAACCTTCCGTGCGCTTCGCTGACTTTCCAGCGGAGTTCCAAGTCTCGAAACAGCTGATACTGTGGAAGCCTCGAAACAACACTCTCGACCAATAATATTCGAAGGCATTTCGGTTGAAACGAGTAAGAGAGAGCTCCGTATCCACCGGCGTGATGGACCGCGAATGGACCGCGAATGGACCGCGAATGGCCGCGAATGGCCGCGAATGCTCGTCATTGCCTAACGCTGATTGGCGGAGTGACGTAACATCCAACCCTCTCGCGGCCTTTCAGACTCGGTGTCTTTGCCAGTTGTACGCAACTTCTCTGATTGGTTACATGTCGTCGCACGACAGGCCTGGTGTTTCGTCTGGTTAGCGAGGGAAGCCGTCGCGAAGCAGGGAAAGTGGAGGAGGCAAACTCCATCTGATCAAAAGCGTTTGCGAACTGTACTCACGACGACCAAGATCGTTCGTGCGATTTCGCACCCACGTCATTCAGCCAATTACAAATTCCGGATGTGTATCAGTTCTCCTTCCCACGTGGTAACCTTTTCGTTTGCATCTCACCAATCGCCTTTCTCTCTTCTGAAACTTCCGTCTGCCTTCTTCATCGAGTCGCGTTTCAATGCGCGCATCGAACCAATCGAAGATGCACATTTCGCATTTCCCATCCACAGCCATTTTGAAATTGTTCTGAGAAGTCCCACGCACCCTCCTTCCCTCTCCCTCTTTTGCGCACTTTCCGCACCACGTGACTCACGTGGTAGTTGCACCGCGGACCTCCTTATCTGCGCAAGTCGGCGCAAGCAATTCTGCAGCGCTGCAGCAGGCGGCGCATTCAGGTGCGCAGCCCTCTGCGCCAATTCTTGCTGGGCTCTGTTCCAGGTCTACCAGCGGGAATGCTTTTTGCCGTGTTCAGATAGGTTTTCGGAAGATAAAGACTCAGGTGGCCAATTCACTCCCAGCATCCCAACTTCTCTTGATCCAAATTCGATGAGCTTGCCCAGATTTTGAATAGATATTCGCTACAGCCTCTGCTCTTCAACTTAAACTTCTGGAGATCGATTGCACCTGCCTCACTCTGTTTGTTTCTATCCTCTGACACTGTTCAAAACTCATTTGACCAAGCTCGTTCCTGTAGTAGCACCAGTGCACCATGGGAAATTTTCTCGCAAGAGCATTTGCGGCGCTTATAAATAAGCGTGACATGCGCATTCTCATGGTGGGGTTGGACGCAGCAGGGAAGACGACCATTCTCTACAAGCTCAAGCTCGGCGAAAACGTCACCACTATTCCCACCATTGGTCAGTGACTCTGGTGGTGACGTGATAGTAAAATCCTTATGAGACGTTTCAAAACATCTTTATTCCCACCATTGGTCAGCAATCTAAGAGAATACATGAAACGGTGGCTCTTCTGACCTTTCTAGCTTGTACGGTAAAATTGGTTAGTAACAGAAACCTTAATCATCATGCATCAACGTTTCTTTTCTCCCTTTTCACCTGTTGTGACTGTATCGCACTCTTCAACACAGTCACCATACACTATATGACAAATCTCCCCCTTTCTTTTCACTCTCGGTTCCTCTCTCAATGTCCTCACTGTGACTGTATCGCAGGCTTCAACGTGGAGACCGTGGAGTACAAGAACATCAGCTTCACTGTCTGGGACGTGGGGGGTCAGGACAGGGTGAGTTCCAGTGTACCCTCTTCCTCTCCCTGTCAAACTCCTGTTTACACTCAGTTACGGTTGGCTCAGTTTTGGTTGGCTCTCTACTTCCTGCATGCAAACTGCGTCATCGTACAGCACAGGTCAATCCAGGTCAGGAAAGTCAATCCAAGTCAACCCGGTCTTTCCCCTCCCCCCCAAATCCGCCCCTTGTGGAAGCACTACTTCCAGCACACCAACGGACTCATCCTGGTACCTTGCAAGTCAACCAAGTCAAGCCAAGTCAACCTTCTTCTCTCCCCACTTCCTCAGATTCGCCCCCTGTGGAAGCACTACTTCCAGCACACCAACGGGCTCATCTTTGTGGTGGACAGCAACGACCGGGACCGAGTGGCGGAGGCGAGAGATGAGCTCCATGCGATGCTCAGTGAGGTGAGAGTCAACAGAAGTCAATGCAGGTCATTACATGTCCATGCACACCAACGGGCTCATCTTTGTGGTGGATAGCAACGACCGGGACCGAGTGGCGGAGGCGAGAGATGAGCTCCATGCGATGCTCAGTGAGGTGAGAGTCAACAGAAGTCAATGCAGGTCATTACATGTCCATGCACACCAACGGGCTCATCTTTGTGGTGGATAGCAACGACAGGGACCGAGTGGCGGAGGCGAGAGATGAGCTCCATGCGATGCTCAGTGAGGTGAGAGTCAACAGAAGTCAATGCAGGTCAATACATGTCCATGCACACCAACGGACTCATCTTTGTGGTGGATAGCAACGACAGGGACCGAGTGGCGGAGGCGAGAGATGAGCTCCATGCGATGCTCAGTGAGGTGAGAGTCAACAGAAGTCAATGCAGGTCAATACATGTCCATGCACACCAACGGGCTCATCTTTGTGGTGGATAGCAACGACAGGGACCGAGTGGCGGAGGCGAGAGATGAGCTCCATGCGATGCTCAGTGAGGTGAGAGTCAACAGAAGTCAATGCAGGTCAATACATGTCCATGCACACCAACGGACTCATCTTTGTGGTGGATAGCAACGACAGGGACCGAGTGGCGGAGGCGAGAGATGAGCTCCATGCGATGCTCAGTGAGGTGAGAGTCAACAGAATCAATGGGAGACAATGCAAGTCAAGACGAGTCGACCCTCATCTTTGTGGTGGACAGCAGTGATCGGGACCGAGTGGCAGAGACGAGACATGAGCTCCATGCGATGCTCAGCGAGGCGAGTCAACAAGAGTCAATGAGAGTCAACACGGGTCAACTCCCATTTCCGTGGTGGACAGCAACGACCACAATCAGAATCTCGATTCTTCTCTCTTCTCTCTTCCCTCGTCCCCCTCCCTTTCCACACACCCCCAAACACACTCACAGGACACCCTGAGGGACGCAGCGCTACTCGTGTTTGCCAACAAGCAGGACCTTCCCAAGGCGATGAGCGCAGCTGGAATCACCGACAGTCTCCCACTCACCTCGTTCTGACTCAACTCCTCTTGCTCCTCGCATCTCTCCTAATCCCTATGCCAGGATGCCCTGAGGGATGCAGCACTACTGGTGTTTGCCAACAAGCAGGACCTTCCCAAGGCGATGAGCGCAACAGACAGTGACGGAGTGCTGCTTCCTTTCCCTTTGTCCCTCCCCTCCCTTTCCCCCTGTCTCTCCTTCGTCCCCCTGTCCCCAAAACACAGGATGCACTCAGGGATGCAGCACTGCTGGTGTTTGCCAACAAGCAGGACCTTCCCAAGGCAATGAGCGCAGCAGACAAGGATCCGACGCTACTCCTTTTTCCCTGCCTTTCTCCTCCCTGCCTCCCCTTTCCACCCACCCCCCGTCACACTCACAGGACGCCCTGAGGGATGCGGCACTGCTGGTGTTTGCCAACAAGCAGGACCTTCCCAAGGCGATGAGCGCAGCTGAGATCACCGACAGCCTCTCGCTGCACACGCTCAGGAGCAGGAACTGGTGCGTTCACCAACACACGTTTTGAGTCGTCTCTCCCTATCTCACGTTTTGAGTCGTCTTAAAACATGAGCACAGCTGAAATCACCGACAGTCTGTCTCTGCACACACTCAGGAGCAGAAACTGGTGAGCTTACAAACACGCAACCCCTCACAAACACGCATTTCTCGCAAACACGCATCCCCTCACAAGCATGCATCTTCTTACAAGCACACATCCCCCTACAAGCACACATCCCCCTACAAGCACGCATCCTCTTACAATCACGCATCCCCTTACAAGCACACATCCCCCTACAAGCACGCATCCTCTTACAATCACGCATCCCCTTACAAGCACACATCCCCCTACAAGCACGCATCCTCTTACAATCACGCATCCCCTTACAAGCACACATCCCCCTACAAGCACGCATCCTCTTACAATCACGCATCCCCTTACAAGCACACATCCCCCTACAAGCACGCATCCTCTTACAATCACGCATCCCCTTACAAGCACACATCCCCCTACAAGCACGCATCCTCTTACAATCACGCATCCCCTTACAAGCACACATCCCCCTACAAGCACGCATCCTCTTACAATCACGCATCCCCTTACAGCACGCTTATCCCCCCACAGAACCTGTGCCACGTCAGGGTATTATCACACCTTACTACACACCCCTAACCACTCCTCTTCCCGTGTCCAACCCCCACTTCCCCTCTTTCCCCTCCCCCCACTTCCCCTCTTTCCCCTCCCCCCCAACCACCAGGTACATTCAGAGCACCTGTGCCACGTCAGGGGAATATCACCATCATATTATACACTTTAATCCTCCTCTCTCCCTCTTGTACTGCATCCCTCTCCCTCCCCTCCCCCCCCCCCACCCCCTCCCCCCCAACCACCAGGTACATTCAGAGCACCTGTGCCACGTCAGGGGAAGGGCTCTATGAGGGGCTTGACTGGCTCGCCAAGAACATCACACTCAAGGTGTGTTCAGTTAGATTTGCATTGCAACCCAGCCAGAATTGCAACCCATGACGATGTGAATGTGAAACAAGGAAAAATTGCAAGCTACGGGAAGTATGAGGGGCTGAATTGACTCGCAAAGAGCGTCATTCTCAACCATGGGCGCGTTCAGCCACCGTTGTAAACCATAACAATGTCATGCTTATGGCGGGCTGAGAGCAACGTGTACTTTTGAGTCGTCTCTAAAGTCACCTAATGCCATGTCAATCCTATGACTGGTTGAGAGCAACGCCTCCCGTAACTCTTGCAAAACCCCATTTTCCTTTTCCTCTATTATCTCTCTTGCACCTTGATTATCACTCCAAAAATCACCCTGAATCTACCAGGACTAGCTTGTAATCCGAAGAACCACGGGACTAAGCGGGGGTGCCGGGTCTTGTAAGCCACTGCTCAGGAAGCTTCCACGACACTTCCTGGCAAATACAGCCTCCCTCAGGAGACCGTAGCTGCTCGTTTGTGGAAACTGCTTATCCTCCAAGACATGGCAAACAGAAGAAGAGACACTGCTTACCCATCCCTCCTGCTGGGCGTTTTTATACAATTTAAAAGCAAAAGCGAAACTGCTTACCAGTTTCCTTTGCTGGGCTTCCCTTGCTTGTGCTTGTGCTAGCATGCTTTCTAGTTTCTCTCTTATCCTCTCCGGGATTTGTATCGTAGTTTCCTTTCTGTACGAGCACTAGTGTTCCTCTCTCTCGTTATTGGACCTTTCATTATAGTACCATCTCGAGTACATGTACAAACAAGACTTAGCGTACGGAGGTTGCCAAACCCAGTGGCAAAGCCTTAGGACAGCGCAAAAAAAAAAAAAAAAAAAAAAAAAACGTGTCAAATCACTGACCTAGCAAGAAGCCTCAAAACTTTTAAGGGCACGCAGCGCGCGTACCTCCTCCCTCTGCCGCCACCAAACCCCTTCCTCCTTCTCCACTCCTTCTTCCTCCCCCACCCCCTCCTCCCTGGTAGCCTCAAACGAACAAACAAGCCTCCAAGAGCCTCTAGAGCCCCAAAAACAGCATGAGGCGCAGAGCGCATGTCTCCTCCCTCTGGCGCTGCGAAACCCCTTCTTCCTGCTCCACTCCTCCTTCCTCCCCCATCCCCTCCTCCTTAGTAGCCCCTATTTCCGCCACACTTGGCGCAACCTTGGGCGACTGCAGCGGCGCCATAAGAACCCCCGCGCCCTCTTCCATTTCCCCCTCCGTCACCCTGCCCCCTGCCCCTCCGCCACTTCTCCCCCTGCGCCCGCCATCCCCACGCCCCTATTTCCGTTACGCTTGGCACAAATTGGGAGATGGCAACGGCGACATATGAACTCCGCGCCCTCCCCCCCCTCCTTCTCAACCTTCCCGAGCTGACTTTTGAGTCGACTCAAAGGTCAACCTGGGGGATGGCAACGGCGACATAAGAACTCCGCGCCCTCCTCCCCCTCCTTCTCAACCTTCCCGAGCTGACCTTTGAGTCGACTCAAAGGTCAACCTGGGGGATGGCAACGGCGACATATGAACTCCGCACCCTCCTTCCCCCCCTTCTCAACCTTCCCCCCCCCTCCTCCCCCAGCTCCCCTTCCCGCTTCACTTTCCTTCCTCCCCAAACCCTACATTCCGCACACCTCCCCACGCGCCCACCTTCCCCACGCCCCCTGCCCTGCCCTGGCCACCCCTCGAAAAGCCTTGTTTCCCCCACTCTTTCTCCCACCCCTCCCCCCCTCCCACCTTCTTCCCTCCCTTTCTCCCCAGACCCTACATTCCGCACAGCTCCGCCACGCTTGGAGCAACCTTAGCCGCGTCCCCCTCCTTCCCTTTTTCCAACTCCTTCCCGCCCTCCCTCCGTCCTTCCTCCCTCCCTCCCTTCCCCCCTCCCCAATTCCCCTTTCTCCCCAGACCCTACATTCCGCACATCTCCCCCTGCGACCGCCTTCCCCACGCGCCTATTTCCGCCACGCTTGGCGCAACCTTGGGCGACTGAATCGGCGCCATAAGAACCCCCGCGCCCTCTTCCATTTCCCCCGCCCCTTCCGCACCCCATCCGCTCCACCTTCCGCTTCCCCTTCCGCTCCCCATTCCCCTTCCCCCTGCTCCGCCTGCTCCAGCCCTCCGCGCACCCTCGACCGCGCCCGCCAATCCGCCCTCTTCCGGGTAACCCTCCCCCAGGTTACCCTCCCCCAAATAACCCCACCCCGAATACCCCTGTCTCGGAAATATCTGGCAGTAGGGGCCACACAGCGGACCGCCCACGAGTTGCTCGATTAGGGTTAGGTCGGGGGGGGTGGGGCAGTGGATAGCGGACAGGATTGTGGGAGGGGCCGCGGTGGTGGTACTACTACTCATGGTGGTGATTGTAGCAGCTGGGATTGAGCCGGTGACTGTGGAATCTGATAATAACGAGGATAAATGCGCACTCATGGCTGTCGTGTTAAATTTTAGCTTGTGTTGAGCTGGCGAAAATCGTATGCCACTCTAAGCACTAACAGCAGGAGCAGCAGTTCAGCAGCGGTTCGGCAGGTAATCTTACATATAGCAATTCTAGCCACTAAGTCCTCTTCGGCTAGCACAAAACATCCAAACACCTCGCAGTACTAGAAATGGACCTACTAACATGCGACCAAGTTACTAGAAAAAATGAAGGACGTTTTGCGAAACAGTGATAGCGGGGGTATTTCGCAAAAGAGTATCTGAGTTGCTGGAGTCCGAGTCGCGGAATTACTAAGGAAGGTCGACGAAAGCCACTAATTGCTCGAATATGGAAGAACAAAGACATGAACACGAAACTTCTTGTATGCACAGTTGCACAGTTACGGAAAATGCAGTCCTAGAGACAGCCTTGGTAGCTACAGTCGCGACGTCGCTTACGCGCTGGTAACTCTTGCGAATTACGAGTATTGCCTCGTTAGCCGTCCAGAGTGTCCCATTTTGACCAGCACGACAAGATCGAGGAAGTGTGATTGGTTTCCGCCCTGGTGACACGTAGAATCCTACAAGGTCCACGTCAGCTTTCACGAAGCATGGATTGGTTGACTCAGGTTAACCTCGTTACAGGGCCACAGGGAATAACGAGGGGCAGCCTCTCATTTGATAATAGAAGTCCCATATTGCATAGCATGTTGCACAAAACAAAATTAAATCAATTAGATATGTGAGTTATCATCTCTGCTGTCTCACTAACCTATAATGATGCCTTATCTAACCCGAACTCCCCTTTTCCTTTTGACCCTGTCCTACCACTTCCTTTCGACTTCTCCCCTTCCACCTGCTTCTTACCACCTCTACCATAAAATTTCAAATACCATTCTACAAATTTCTGTAGCCCATCCTTTAGTCTCACCCCAGGGTGATACCCTAGCTCATGCTCTGCCCGTGACACGTTTGCATGAGTGAAAGGCACATCCCCGTTATGAGGCAGCTGCACTGTCAGCTTCAACGCCTTCTCCCTCAGATGTAACTGTAGATAGTCGACCAACTGAGGCACGGAAACCGGTTGCGTATTCCCGAGGTTCAGCACCCGAAGCTGCGCCGGACCTGTCTTCTTGCCTTGGACGCCAGTGCTGGGTGTAGCCGTTTTTAAGGCGCTGACACAGCCTTTGATGACGTCATCTATGTAGGTAAAGTCCCTAGAAACAAGGGTCTGCACGTGGAGAGTAGGTGAGAGCGGAGAAAAGAGGAGAAAGAGACTAGTTGAGAAAAAGAGGCAATATGAGAGCGAATGTGCGAGAGCGAAGAGGCAAGAGAAGGGGGAGAGAAAAAGGGAGAGAGAAGGGGGAAGGTATGGGTGGCAGGGGGCTCTGGGTGGCGCACAGACAATGAGGCGATAGGAAGAGTGTGTGATGGGGAGATGGGGTTGAGAGGTGGGGGGAGGAGCGGGGCTAGGGGAGGGGGGAGAGTGTGGACATCGAAGGATGAGGGGGGGTGGAAGTTTTAGAGGCACCTCAGAAACATACGAGGGGGAATGGGGGGGTGGGGGAGGGGGGGGGGTGAGGGTGGGGGGGGAGTAGGGGGTAGAAGAGGGTGGGGGGGAAAAGGGGGAAGAAGGGGGGAATGTGGAAACCCTGGATGGGAAGGATGAGACGAGAAAAGTGGGGAAAGTAGAGAGAAGCATTCGGAAGAGACAATGCTGAGCAGTGTGTCAGAGAGGCAGAGCATTCAGACGACTACTCACCCCATTGGCTCCCATGTACACTTCAATCGCCTTCTTTTCCAATATGTTCTTCGTAAAAAAGAAATACGCCATATCGGGTCGTCCCCACGGCCCGTATACAGTGAAGAATCTCAACGCGGTTAGTGACAGCCCGTGGATGTGATTATACGAGTGTGCGATCGCTTCGCCAGCCAGCTTCGTCGCAGCGTACAGGCTCGCCGGTCGCTCGGTTCTGTGCGACTCCGAAAACGGAACCTCGCGATTCACGCCGTACACGCTGCTGGACGACGCCCAGACGATCGCAGGCTGTCGCACAGGCACCCTGCGACACCTCTCCAGCAGATTCACGAATCCTGCGACGTTGCTGTCCACATAGGATTTCGGATTCTCCAACGCGTACCGAACCCCCGCTTGCGCCGCCATATGTGCCACGTGGGTGAATGTGACTGTAGCGAACAGCGCGTCGAGAAGCGTGCCGTTGTTTAAGTCACCGCGAATAATCTCAATGCCCGCAGACCAGAGCCGCGCCGCGCGCGCCTCCTTCAGTGTAGTATCATAGTAGTTGTTAAAATTGTCCAGACCCACCACCCCGTGACCCTCCTTTTTAAGAGCCAGCGCGAGATGCGACCCGATAAATCCGGCAGCCCCCGTTACAAGAACAACCATGGACTCGTTCTGCTTCTGCCCGTCTTTCGCGGCTGCGACTGGCACCGCGCTCGCCCTCTGCTGTCCGAAAAGACTGTCGTTAACTTTTGCGGACTCAACGAGCCGACGAATCCACTCAGGCTCGTGATTCCCGCCGCCATTTCCGCTTCCAACGCCGGCGTCGCGTCCGCGACTGCTCGGTCCGATGAGGTCCGCGTAGCGCGATAACAGGAACGCTTTTGGCGAGTACAGCGGCACCGCGTCGTCTTCTGCCCGCTGATCTCCTCTGGCCTGGCTGGAACGGGTGACAGCGGATTCAACGGCGGCTTTCCCGGCTGTTTTGACGGCAGGAGGAGTGACAGTGGACAGTCCAACGGTGGGGTCGAAGGAGTTAGTCGAGTAAGCCGCTACGGAAATATCCGTGAACTGTAACGAATTCCTCGTTAACGCGTACGAAGTGTAGGACCCAGCGAGGCTGGAGACTATTGCGGTGAGCGCACAGGCAAGGACGAGGAGAGACCACGACGGACCCCGATCGTGCTTATACTTGCTGTGACTATTGTGAAGGGAGGGGGCATCCAGCACGATAAACGAAGAGATGGAGTGGCTTTTGCTCAGCGACGCGGCTGCTCCTGACTGCTTCACTCTCGGGGGATGGAGGACGACGCGGGAAGGATTTTGCGCGTGTTGTTGAAACTTTTCGGAAGCATCGTGTGAGGAGAGAGAGTGGCTCTTGCTCAGCGAAGCGGCTCCTCCGGACGGCTTCATTCTCTCTTGCGAGCGAGTGCGACTCAAAACTATGATATGGTTTCCGAGGAGTCTCAAAATTTCGTCTGGGTGAAGGACAAGACGCGTGCTGGGAAGGAGGGCAGTGGTTTATCAAGGTTGAGAATCCCGACCTTTACGAGAGTTCTGTTACGGTTGCGATGCCCGTCTTCTCTAGCTCTTAGAAGCGACAACTATTTCTGTGGCAAAACGCTAACTGCTCGTCGCTCGAGATATCGCTCGATGGTTTTTCTCAGTCGACGGAATATTAAGCTATAAGGCACCTCAAGGCGTGGTGCCTATATCTTTGGTATTCCTTCACGGACGGACTATCAGAACGTGCAGTGCCGTTGTGATTTAGAGACGAATCAAAACTCGATTATTACTCCCCAGACTGAGAGCTTGCCGTACTGTACTGCTTGTGAGCGACAGGTGATGGATTAGCTTCCTCGCAATTGACGCAATCCGAAGCGTGTGGATGTTGTTGCGGTTCGAAAGTCGCGGCGGAGGCAAAATACCTTGTGTTGTGTCGGATGATCGGATTCTTGTCTGGTCGCTCGTTGCAGCAGGTGTGACATTTCTCTTGGTGCTTTATGCAGTAGGGAGACACGGGAACTAGGCAAGTAATTTAGCAGTAAAGACGGATGGAATCAGCTCGCGCGAATTCTCGGTCCGCCTTGTTGCTGATCTTAGCGGTCCGCGCAAGCAGTGCACCTTACGCATTCTGATATGGCTTGAGTGGGGCTGGTTAGTTACAGAATGAAACGGTGAAATTGTAGGGTTCGGAACGGTGCAGGGTAAGGGAAAGGAGGTAGGTTGACGAGGAGGGGTGGGAAAGATTTTGTTGCAGCAATGCGTGCCTTGTCCTTCCATCCATCCACCCACCCAAAACATCTCGTTGATTGGTTTTCTTTGCATGCTTCGATGTGCGACGCGGAAGACCAAAGTGCTAAACCGAGTCGCATCCTATTTTGGGTTAGAAAAGACCCGAATCTCCGTCAGTCTGTCGCAGTTTCCTTCGCACAGTGACAATTTCTGACTGCCAAGGAAGGACTAGCGCTGCGCGACGAAGCGGGCGGGACTGTCGGTCAGAGAGAGCCGTTCTGCGACTCTGGGGGAGTTGGAGGATGGTTCGCAGAGCTTTCGAGGCCGTCGCTCCTGGTGGAAGACTGCGCAACCCGCGATTTGCCCCAGCCAGCCGCTTGCTTGAGCCGACACGATCGTGTGGTCGTCTGACGAAACCTTGACGGTCGTTGTTGTACCTGTTACGCATTTGAAAATTGGCTTCGCTAACATGTATGCAAAATGTTAGGTAAGCTAACTTTTGTTATTGTAGAAGCTTGCCCTCTGGTTAAAAGGGAACATAATAGCTGCTCACATTCGCAAATTATTTGGACTTTTACTCCTCGTCTGATGCATTTGTAATCGCTGCTGATAATCACATTTCATGCATGCTATATGAGGGTATACAACAAACTGGAGTGACAGTCCGTAATAAGTGGTAGTCACCTTAGAATGGGATGTCATCATCATCACCATTTTTATCCTCCTCAAAAATGTCGTAAGGGTTGCCTGTTCTCTGGACACCTCCATGAAATCCAGTAGCTCTGAAGTTCTTCAGTGTCAATGGAAGCGACTCACTTGCTGGCACCACAATCTCAATCTCAAACGTCCCTTCTCCCTGCAGAGCACAAGAATGACATTAGGCTTATAGTGAGACACTGAACTACAACAGAAATAGCACAAGGCGATGGTGCATATGGTGCAGTGCAGCAGTCATATACATTCCACCACAGTGAACAGTCACTCCACTCTCTTGTCTATTGCTCACTCAAACACACTCATGCTTGTATACAACTCACCACGGGTATCTCTTTGATGCTTGCCAGCCTTCCCATGTTAGGAATTGCAGGTTCGTCATAAGCATCCAAGACAAACCCAAACACATCCGCGTTATAGACAGGCCGCCCTGATTTGTTCACCGTAGTGCCCATGATCAAAAAGCACTTGGCCTTGTACAGGGAAGATCCGGGCCCAACCGTGTAGGGATTGGCACATGGGCGGTAAGTTAGGTCTTTAAGAGCCACTGTAACCACCTTCAGTAGGCACAAGGGAGGGGCAGAGTTAGGGAGGAGAACAAGGAGGTTGATGTGAATTTGAGGTGTTGCAACGCTGTAGTGTTGGATGCACATTTACGAGTAAATGATTGCACTCACATGACATAATGCACCGAAGTTCAACAAAGGGATGCAAAGAGATTGGCCGGAATTGCGAGGAGAAGGGAACGGGATAGGATGGGGACATCCAGACCACAACGCAAGACGGCATCTGCTAGGGCTCCTAAATTACAATAGCAGAAGAGGCTCCGAGGACGCGGCTTAGGCATCACACGGTCATAACGCGGCGTCGTTACAATGCGGCTTAGGGATGACACGGTTACAAAGCGACATGGTTAGAATGCGACGTAGGGATGACACGGTTAGAATGCCAACGTACTGCGAGAGCTTCAGGCGGTTGAACCCAGGGCATCCCAGTAACAACGGCGTGACAGTTGACGGAGGTGATTTCTTAGTCGACTTAACACCACCTTCAAAATTCAACGTACCGCGAGAGCTTCAGGCGGTTGAACCCAAGGCATTCCCGCTGTGACAACCGCGGCAGCGGCTGTTGTCGCAGCTCCGAGAAGGACCGTTCGCCGGGTCTGGTTACCAGGTAACAGTTCCAGCGCGACGTTTTCATTCGTGGAAATAGCCTGCGACGACGCGCTAATGTCCATCCGCGGTTCCACCTGGGATCGCACGGCGCTCAGCGAATGAGCAATTGGCGCGTGAAATTTCACGGAATGTGACGATGTAGCGCCTTGTAATCCGCGACTACCTCCAGACATCCCCCCGAGCCATGCTAAGCTCGAAAGGGGGCGCGCGGTGGACGTGACCCTACAAGCAGCAGCCATTTCAGTGTGACAGCCACGAGAAGCGTTGCTCCTCGATTTGGAGCAGGGGAGGGCGGAATGGGGTGGCTTGAGCCTTGGAAGGGTTGGGTGAGAGATAGGGTTGACTGGTTCTGTGAGTGCGGTTGGTTATTGTTGTGATATGATGGAGGGCCATTCATCTTGGAAGGTAAATAATACCACTGTGAGCCGCACAAAATCTCACAATACCGCACTGTATGAAACGCATCAATAACATGAATCTAGCTCTTGGGCCATTCCGAAGTTGGATCACTTTTCCACATGTGCACGGCGGGAATCCACGTCAGAACAGATGGCGACTTCTGGTTCCTAGGATAAAGGGGACCGAAAATAACGACCTGTTGACGAAACGGAGAAGCTAATGACGCGTATCATTTCTGCGGCGCACTGTGCTTGCCAGCCCTGGAGCCGGATTCTGATGTGAATTTGCCATACCAGTTTATTTTTTCAACCAGGTGAGATGACCCAGTCAGGAAAACGTCTCCCTCACTCTCCAGGGTTCAGCAAGCGTGCGCGTACCAGAACAACTGGTTGTGAGTCGGGAGCAGATTTGGGAAAACAAAAATGCTTTGTTTTTAGGGCGTGCATCTAAAGCTCCTTTATGTTTTGTGAGTTTCCCTGGAAATGCTGTCCAGACCAGCACAGCACAACCACCACGAATCTGGGCGCAAATATTTCGTCCGCGCCGCACCGCGCCAAACATTTTCCCCGAGACGCCACCTTGCGCACATCTCGGGATCGTGGCAAGCAAGCAGATCCATCCCGCACATACTGTTCTCTCCTGTCGACGAGGGGCAGCCTTTCAACGAGATTGGCACCTCGATTTCGAAAATCGTGACGGTAAGGACGAGTTTGAACACGATGCGGATCGGTACCGTGAGGCAAAATTCGGTCCTCCTAACGCCGCCTTACTGAACCGTTTGGAAACGTGCTTAACACCTCTATAACTCGTCACGGTCACGAATTTTGATTGCAGTTGTGAAGGTCCACTCCCGAGAGTTTTGCTCAATTCCGCGGAATCGCGGATTGTTTTATTATCGCCACGTGGCATGCCTTCGATCGCGGGAACCGCGATCTGTTTTATTGTTGCCACAAAGTTCAATAGAATTTTAGTTAAGTTTAGTACTGCGCTGCCCGCAGGCAAAAATAAAACCCATTCGGGCCTGGCATGCGTTAGGGAGACATCAACCCTAAACGCCTTGCCTCTAGGTGTTTAGGGTTGATGCATCCCTAACGCATGCCAGGCCCGAATGGGTTTTATTTTTGCCCGCGGGCAGGGTAGTACATGAGATCCACTAAGTCTAACTAGATTTCTCTTGAAATTTGTGGGAACAATAAAACAAATCGCGGTTCTCGCGATCATAGGCATGCCACGTGGCGAAAATAAAACGAACCGCGATTTCGCGGAATTGAGCAAAACTCTCTCCACTCCCCCGCCTACCCTCCCCTGTCTCCAACCCAAACATCATTTTCCATTGACTTCCCCCTTTCTTGATCATCTCCATTCCACCATCTTGTCCCATCCCGCACCGCAGAAATCCCACATCAAGCCATTTTCCGACGAATACATACAGTACAAACCACATCGTGCCATTCCCTGACACCACATAATTCTCCCGTGACCAGGATCTCCGCTGACAACGCTCCGCCTTCCACGGGCTCCACCGGGTCGCGCACAGCAAGTGGCTCCTGCTTGACATTGTCCTGTTATCGCGTAGGAGGCCATACCCCACGCGCACGGGTCTGCCGTGCATACTTCAACTATTTCCTGTCGATAAGTGATTCGAGTCGACTCGAGCAAGACTCACGAGTCATCCTGTTATCGTCTAGGGAGGACATGTGATTCTAGAGTCCGCGATTACTAAAACGTTCTTCGTGATAAGAAGTCCAGGATCGATGCAGACCTCGACCGGCGTATTTTAGCTTCAGGCCGACTTGTGCGCTGTCAAGCGCGTAGAAGAAAGAAAAAAGAAAAAGAAAAAAAGTCAAAGCACAAGGAGTACACAGTACTTACTCATGTGAGCAGGAACCACGTCACCAGTACGTCAGTCTTGAACGCGAGATCGTTAGTCGCGAATCAGCCCCCTCTCGAACTCAAGCCAACTTCCTATCGAGCTCGGTTCAGCTATCTCTCTCTCGTACGAAACGCGACATTGTTAGTTCCACTTCCACCTTACCATTTCACCACATTTCTAGCCGTAAAATGGCTTCCCAAGCTCAGCTCGCGCGCAAACCCTCGCCTTAGTTCATACTATGAACTTTCATTCTAGGCGGGCCGTCCCCAAACACCCGACCGTGTCTTCGCATTTCTCCCTTACCTCGCGCCTGCCCCGTGCCGTAAGCGAATTAAAGAGGCTCAGTGCAAATCTAGCGGATTTCTACACGTGTCAAAAGCCCATAAGTAGCGCCTTTCCCGTGCTGTAGGAAGCGAGCTGGGGAGACTGACCACATCTCTTGCCGTCAGGTCACAGCGCGTATCTGATTCAAGAGACGCATCGAAGAACATGCGGCAGGCAACTCCAGTCAGCACTTCGGGCATTATGCTCTCTTTCTCGGAACGCATAATGCTCGCGCTGATCCCTCTCTTTCTCGTCGCCTGCTGCTCCGCTCGCACCGCTGTCGGTCAGAACGTCTCTACCCCCACAATCGACTTTCGGTCACTGAGTTTTCCTAGCGATGCCGATTCGCCGTTGCTTCCGAGAACTTTCCAAGGCCACCCCACCAGTCGCGCGCTTGCGGGCGGCGCATCGGCGGAAGGCGTTGGCGGAGCAGCACCGCGGCAGATGCAGCCAGCGGGGCGCGCGGAAGCAGCGGGACACGCGGGACCAGCATCCGCGGAGGTGGTGGGGAGCGCGGAGACTGAGGAAGGGGGACCGGTAGCATTTGGGGGGCGTCGCATTTCGTCGCTTGCTGGCGTCGCAACAGCGGGGAGTCAGATGAAGGGGCGGAGTCCCGCGGATGGGCTAACCCCTCGGGGCGTTCGCGGAACGACGGGGGCAGAGAAAGGCGCGCAGACGCGGAGGCGAAGTCGGGGCGCGGGGAAGCACAAACCGCACGCGGGGTCGAACAAACCGGGCAGCAAAACGGGCAAGAAAACGGGCAGAAAAACGGGCAGGAAGAGAGCTGCGGAGGATCCGCTTTTCCCGTGGGTGGGGAAGCCGAGACTGGTGACGCTCGACGCGACGAAACGAGGGCGATGCTTGGACGGCAGGTGAGTTACTGACCGACTGAGGCTGGGATGATGGGCTGTGACTGCTGAGCCGTGGGGTGTTTGCTTGGGGTAAGGGGGGTTGACGTTGGACGCGACGAAACGAGGGCGATGCTTGGACGGCAGGTGATTAACTGAGTAACTGAGGCTGGGATGTTCGGCGGTGACTGCCGAGCCGTGGGGTGTTCGCTTTGGGGTTCGACGTTGGACGCGACGAAACGAGGGCGATGCTTGGACGGCAGGTGATTCACTCACTGACTGAGGCTGCGTCAGGGCTGTGGGTGGGTTTGGTTGCATGTTGTCCGCAAGCACTCAGAATGCACCTGTGACTGCGGCTGCGGCGTGCCTTGGCTGCTTAGAGTAGAGACGTGGTGACGTTTTACGCGAGGATACGAGGGCGATGCTTGGACGGCAGGTGATTCACTGACTGACTGAGGCTGGGTTGTGGTTCCGTGACTGCTGGGCCGTGCTTTAGCTGCTTAGATTCAAAGGGTGGTGACTTTGGACGCGACGAAACGAGGGCGATGCTTGGATGCCTCCTTTCTCTCCAGGGTTTAGGGTGGTTGCTTTGGCTCTGTTCCCTCCTGGCCTTCCGCCTCCTCCCATTGGTCGTCGTTCCCATTCCTCTGCCTTTCTCCTTCTGCCTCTTCTTCTGCCCTCCGCTTCCCTCCACACATCCGCGTTATTGCAGCTCCCCCGCTTTTGTCATCCGAAACGGCTACGGTACAGGAGCGAACAAGTGGATCTTCTATCTCGAGGTAAGGAGCACAGTCGAATCTGTACCTGTTCAGTTAATGAAAACTTAGTGCACAGTAAATCTCACCTTAAAGTCTGGCGAATGATATTGTAAATGGGTTCATGAAGCTTCATACCTGTTTGTGTCCCACCCGTTTGTGCCACACTCATTTTGTGTTGCACTCGTTTGTGTCACACTCGTTGTGCCCTACTCGTTTGTGTCAAACCCGTTTGTGTCACACCCGTTTGTGTCACACCCGTTTGTGTCACACTCGTTTGTGTTAAACCCGTTTGTGTCACACTCGTTTGTGTTAAACCCGTTTGTAACACACCCGTTTGTGACACACCCGTTTGTGTCGCAGGGCGGAGGCTGGTGCTTCAGTATTAAGCAGTGCGGCGTTCGGTCCAAGACTGTGCTCGGGTCCTCCCGTTACTACAACCAATCGGTACAGTCACTCTGCATTTGCTCCCTCTTCCTCCCCCCCCCCCCCATTCCCTCCCTCTCCCTCTTCCATTCCCTCCCTCCCTCCCTCCCTCCCTCCCTCCCTCCCTCCCCATTCCCTCCCACTCCCTCTCCCCATTCCCTCCCTTCTCCCCCCCCCATTCCCTCCCTCTCCCTCTTCCCATTCCCTCCCTCTCTCTCCCCCCATTCCCTCCCTCTCTCCCTTCCCATTACCTCACTCTCTTCCTCCCTCCCTCCCCATTCCCTCCCGCTCTTCCTCCCCATTCCCTCCATCTCTCCCTACCCATTACCTCCCTCTCTTTCTCCCTCCCTCCCCATTCCCTCCCGCTCTTCCTCCCCATCCCCTCCCTCTCTCCCTACCCATTCCCTCCCGCTCTCCCTACCCATCTCCTGTTTCCCTCTCCATCTCCTCTCATGTCTCAGTGTCTCAACCACCTTCCCTCCCCACACAGCTTCCCGTTTCCCTCCCTCCCTCGCTAGTTCCCTCATTTTTCCCAGTCCCAACCCTCCAACATCCTTCTTTTCCCTCCCATGCCCAGATTTCCACTCATAGGTCTTGCTCTCAGCTTTCCCACATCACTTTTTAGAATTCTTAAGTGACTTCCATGTAACATGCACTCAGTTTTCTAACATCATTTTCGTTCCTCCTCTTGCTTTCTTTCAGCCTCCTCTTGCTTTCTTTCAGCCTCCTCTTGCTTTCTTTCAGCCTCCTCTTGGGCAGAGGATGTAAAGTTCTCTTGTATCGCGCCACATTTCAGGGCGTGTTACATTGCACCTCAAAGTTGTATATTTATCCAAAATTATTACCTTCCTCTCTGCCCCAACCAATCTGCTTCCGACCCTTCTTGCGCCTCGATTTTCACTCCTTCAGAAAGACATTGACTTGGCCGGAATCGCGAGTAGCGACATCAAGGTACAAACACTGCCTTTTTGGTTAGTACAGCACGCTTAGGGTATATAAACGTAAAAAACAAAAAAAAACAGACATAAGTGGGCAGGTGGACACTGATATGGGTGGTATCACAACTATTAAACTTCACCAACTCAACGCTGCGTAGGTACAGCATCAGTAGCAATACAGATATCTAATTTTAACATAAAATGTTGAACAAATCAATTGGCAAATTCACAATATGAACTACCATTGTTATAACTACATGCAAGAGCTGAACTTTTGCCGAGTGTCACCTTTGGCTAGGACTATTCCCATTTGACCTTATCATGCGTCGATTTCTTTGTCTTTATTACCTGCAGATTAACCCCGGTTTCCACAACTGGAATTTTGTCATTTTCAAATACTGCGACGGCGCTGCTTTTGCCGGGATCCGTGGCGTCGTGCAACCGCGTAACGTCAACAGCAACAAGCCGCCCGTCTACATGGAAGGCCGGTGGAACCTTATAGGGATAGTGGAGGAGCTTCTAGCGAAGCAGAATCTGAGGCAGGCTACAGACGTGCTGCTGACCGGCTGTAGCGCGGGGGGACAAGGGGTCAGCATGGTGTGTGATGGTGTTGCCAAGTGGATGGCTCAGTATGGGGCCAAAACACGATGTCTCATGGACGCTGGATTCTTCATGGGTAAGTCTAACAACGGTGGACATCATTTGAGGCGCCTCAAAAGTATAAGTATAGTGGGCATAGTTGATGTTTAACGGTATTCAACATCAACGATGCTCAACGCATTGACTTGTAACGCATCCTCGTTTTTTCTGCGCAAATCTTCCCCTTTTTGCCTACTCCATTCCAGACATCCCAACCGTACGAGGCTCCTACTCCTTCCGCCGTCGGATGAGCCAGCTGGCATCAACAGCCGACCTTGGACCCCACCACCCCCTCCTTCCCTCTTCACTCCATCCCCTCCCTCCCCTCCCCTCACTGCTCCAGACATCCCCACTGTACGAGGCGCGTACGCGTTTCGCCGTCGGATGAGCCAGCTGGCGTCAACGGCAAATCTCGCGCAATCCAGCTATGACGTGGGCTGCGCTGCTGGTGAGTGTGATGTGATAGTATGGCGTGTGTGTGACTGCACGTGTGTGACTGTACGTGTGTGGTTGCGCCAGCTGGCATCAACAGCAAATCCAGCTATGACCAGGGCTGCGCTGCTGGTGAGTGAGAGAGTATGTGAGAGGGACTGTAGTGTGATTGTATTAGTGTGATATGTATGGGTGTGATTGTACGAGTGTGATATGTATGGGTGCCTGTGTGACTTGCAGGAATGACCCAGCTGGCATCCACAGAAAGATCTTAGACGATCCAGCTATGACCAGGGCTGCTGGTGAGTGACAGAACATGTGGGTGATGTGTGACTGTATTAGTACGACTGTATGTGTGGCTGTATGAGTGTGACTGTATGAGTGTGACTGTATGAGTGTGACTCTATGAGTGTGACTGTAGTGTAGCCGTATGAGTGTGACTGTAATCGCGAGTGATTCAGACTTGGAGGATTGAGCCAGCTGGCATCCACAGTGGACCTTGGGCTGTCCAGCTATGTCCAGGCGTGGGCTGCTGGTTTTTTGGCAAAATCGTTTAATAATAATAATTATTATTATTTTCTCACAATGTGTGCTCAGAAACACCCTGTTTTTTCTCGTTGGATCCTTGTTTTGGCACTTTCGAAACCTTGTTCTTTTTCCAGACCCCTTTTGATTTCCCACACTCCCCATCCCTCTCTCCTGTCCCCCTTATGAACAGCCTTCAGAGGAACGAAGCAGTCATGGAAGTGTACCTTCCCCGAGTACAACCTGCATTTCGTCAGCACGCCTACATTCATCCTCAATAGTAACATCGACTACAAGGCTATAGCGATGACTCTTGTCGGGACGAGTAAACCCGTTACACACCCGCTCATGCACTGCTACTATTCTGCGGGATTGAACGATTGCACTCCGGAACAACGAAGCGAAATTGGCAGGTACGCAACTCGGGTAATGACTACAGTGCGAGGTGTAGTGGAGAACGCTAAGCGAAGAGGAGCGGCATTTACTTCGTTCGTTTATCAAACAAAATCGCATTGTATGCTAGGGGATCCTGCGTGGCAAAGTGTAGTTTCGCCCCAGTGGCCTGGCAAGAACCTCCCATGGGCTATTAGCGAGTGGTACTATGGTGCAGCAGTTGCTGCCCGTCTGCACAGGCGTAGATAGTAAGGCGTAGTGTTATCAACCAGCTGTTTTGTTTAAGTTGAGATATTTCTGTATTTTGTACTATATATTATGTTATTGTTTTGCATCTTTGGGCATTTAACCTTGAAATCAGTGGAGCTTTGTTCGACAAGAGTCAAGTCACAATGGCACACACATGGGACTGTTAAACTAAGAGAAGAGGAATGATGTCGACTAGGTCAAGGGGGGGTACAAGTAGAATGACGAGAGAAAGGTTGTACCCCCTAAGATGCATCTCCCTATAGGCTAAATAAGAACTATGATATAACTTTGACACACCCCCAAAACCTAAGTGAGAGGGATCAGAACGACCAAGACAAGCAAATGGTCACAAGACCAGTCAAAAGAAGCAAACAAAGCAAAGCTCAGGGTGGATCTCAAGGACACCACACAATCTGAGCACAAGCAAGCGGCCACAAAGCCAGTTCACATGCAGAGGTATAATAGCAAGGCAGTACACTGATCACAACCTAGCAAGAGTAAACAAGCAGGTATAAAGATATATATCAGTGTACAACAAGTGCAAGTCAAGCAACCAGCAGGTGAGGCAGAGAGGGCACAAGCTCAAGACCAGTACAGAAACGCTGATGATCACCAGACCCAAGGGCCTTGGTGAAGACGTCAGAAGTGTTGGCCCGAGAGGCCACGTAGGAGAGGCGGAGCTGACGACGCTGCTGCAGCTCACGTGCAAGGAAGTAGCGAAGAGCAATGTGTTTCGTTCTGTGCTCCATTCTCTGCTCGCGACACAAGGCCAGCATGGCCTTGTTGTCGACGTACAGAACTGGAGGAGAACGAGGCCGCTCCCCCAAGTCGGTCAGCAGGTAGGTCAGCCAGCGAAGCTCCTGTGCAGCCATGGCCCCAGCGTAGATCTCGGCCTCACAGCTGGAACTAAGCACAGAAGACGAACGAGTGGACCTCCACGAGACAGAACCAGAGCAGAGACTGAAGGTGTACCCCTGTGACGACTGCTGAGTCGTCTGGTCGTCAGCCCAGGAAGCGTCGGAGTGACCTGTGAGTACCACTGCGTCCCGTCCTCCAAGCACAAGCCCCATGCCCGATGTACTGCACAAGTAACGCAGTACCCTCTTTGCAGCTTCCCAGTGCACCTTTCGGTGTCGACCGGGAGACACGTAGCGAGCCAGGAGGCTAAGAGGGTACGCGAGGTCAGGTCGTGTGCAGGTCATCAGGTACATGAGGCAACCCACGAGCTCTGGATACGGACCACTCGGCTCTACTGACTCGTCCGAAGGTGGAGCTTAGAGCGAGTGGCCTGTAGGCAGAGGAGTGGGCTGTGGCGAGGACCACGTGAAGCCAAAGCGCTGAAGGACCTGGTGCACCATGTGTGACTGCGTCAGGGTGATGGTGCGCCGTGCTCTGTCCCGGGTGATCTGCAAGCCAAGATAGCTCCGCAGCTCACCCAGGTCAGTGCAGGTGTGTCTCTCCTGCAGCTCCGTCTTCACGCGGGCCAGTGCCTCAGTGTCAGCAGTAGCAAAGACCCAGTCGTCGACGTACACGAGGATGTAGAACGCCGGCAGAGTGGTGTCAGTGCGTAGAAACAGCGACGGGTCAGCTGTCGATGGAGCGAAACCAAGAGCCGCAAGCGTCGTCCTCAGTGTGTCGTGCCACTCACGGGGCGCGTGACGCAGGCCGTACACTGGTCGCCGTAGGCTCCACTGGGTACCCACAGGAAACGACCCAGTGAAGCCCTCTGGACGGCGCAACCAGATGGCCTCGTGAAGGCTACCCTGCAAGAAAGCTGTCGAGAAGTCGAGGGAGTGCAGCTCGTAGTCACGCTGAGCTGCAACGTGTAGCAACACCCGAAGAGTGGTCATCTTCGGGGTGGGGGAGAAGGTCTGGAAGAAGTCGACCCCCTGTCGCTGACTGAAGCCTCGAGCAACGTAACGCGCCTTGAAGGCAGGCGGAGAACCCGGCGGCTGCTTCACTCTGAAAATCCACATGCCACTGACGATGTTCACCCCAGGTGGGGGAACCTCGTCGACGTAGGTGCCCGTGGACTTCCAGGAAGCCATCTCTGCGTCCATGGCTGTCTGCCACTGAGAGGAGTACTCACCCGAAATCGCCTCTCTGTAAGAGCGCGGGGTGGGGATGTCAAGTGCATCCGGGTCTCCCTCAGGGGCAAGCAACATGGTCGCGAGATGGGGTGCAGCGGCCGCAAGGCACTCCAGCTCCTCCTGTCTGTCCTCAAGAACGTCACAGCCAAGGGCAGTACAGCCAAGGGCAGTCTCACCCCCGACGGACGGAGGACAGGCAGGGACAGGGTCAGAAACAAGACTCGCAAGGTAGTCTAGGCGGTACACAGCAGCAAAGTCAACGAGCTCAGCGACTAAGGCAGACGCAGCAGGAGACAAGAACGAAGGGTCAGTCACAACCGTAGCA